GCCGCATGCTGCCTTTTCAGGGTCGTCTTTAGAAAACGAGGCAACCAGGAAGAAACAGCTTCAACTGTCGAAGCTTATTCGTCCAAAACGCATGACTAGGAAGCAACTGTCTGTGCCTATCAACTCATGCGTCCACAGTCAGACGACTGGGAAGACACCGTCTAATCCTAGAAACTTGTTGGCCCTTGACTTGTGACAAACTTCATAAAGGGTACCAACGCAGTATAATGGACGCGTTTATTACGAAGTGTGTTATCTAACTGTGTTTATGTACCTCCAAAATAAACTCTTTCTCTACTGAGCCGCAGTCGAATGACACTGTATGTTTTTAAAGTTCTATATCACCATAAAATTAGAAAGCACATTATAAATGGTCATACATCAGGACGTATGATAAGATACAATGCACTATGATGATAATGCACCCGATCCTTTTCAATTAAACTGGTATTTCACTAATCTAGACACAAGCCCAGCCCGGTGTTTAATTCTCATCAGTGCTGGCGACGTTTCAGCCATCATCAGGCCAAACAAGGAGACTGTGAAAGCCGAGTAGCTGTTCCCAAAATGACAGATATCACGATCATAAACAGCCGTGACAGACAGCTACACAAGTCAGAAGATGTAACGAAACGATTAATTTTATCCAATGTCCTAAAAACGCGTTGCACATATTGCTTGAGTTTGCAGATATAAGCAGTGACTGTTTGATCAGCAGTATGACCCTTCCTGATCGATCACCGTGACACTGGTACAGTCCAGTCAGTGGTCACTTTTCAGAATAGAATTTCAATTCAGTTACAGCTTCGCGAGCCAGCACTTTTCTTACCATGTTATTTACGAACTGCCTGTCAAGGAAATGCCTGGCCACATGAGCAGGCAAGATATTAAACAGAATCAGCTGATTGCCTTTCTCCAGGACGATTGTTTCTTCTTTTTCTTTCAGTGCCTGCATCGAAGAAAAACGAATCGCTAAGGCAGCAAAAATAGGACTGCAAATTTACCTGAGTCGCCCACAAAAAATCTAAACGAAGAGTCATTTCCACCTGCCTCGACTGAACGTAGACCAGGATAATGAAAACACTTATGACCACGAGCAGTCGGGCGCTGACTGGATACGGAGCGCTGAAGCAGGCATTGTAAAGTTAAAACATAAAAACCAAGCGAAAATTTCAAGTGAAACAATCTCTTACTTGGAAAACTCGCTGAATTCAGCGAACAGCTGTGTTTGAGTTACGAAGGCGCACAGCATGTACGAAAAACCGGTTACGGTCATTAACAACAATTTCACAATGGCAGACAAACGGATGAGGGTAGACGTGGTCACGATAGACATGACGGCTGATAGAAAAATATAGTTGGGAACATAGCAGTAGGAGGTGGCGGCAACATCGTATGAAGTCGGACACATAAACTACAATAGTAAGACCGATGTGAAACGATAGTGCTTCGTAGACAAACAATACGAATAGTAGCAATACTATCCTCAAATTATTCAAAGAAACTACGCAAACATGCTATCCATGAAACACCACACTACTACGTAATTTACAAAAAGACTACATAAAAAATACTCTTTCCTCAAACCGGTGAAAATATTAAATCAATTAAGCTACAGTTACGCCCCTATAATTTTTATATTAATGTGACTGTGTAACTGCAACGTGCTGCACAGTATGAATATGAACACGTCATGAACAAGTGTTCAGTTCCAGGTTGAATGACGAAACCTAGAACAGGTGATTATCAGAAGTCATCGAATGACTTTCATGCCTCTACGGTTAAGGCGGTAACAGATGCAAGTTCACTGCTTGAAAATGATCGCCGAATAATCCGGGTTTTCAAAACAGATAAGATAAAAATAGGTTAATTTAAATACAAATGCATAAAAAGAAACGGAAACAAAAAATACATACAAATCTGTCTGTAATAGGCTTGCTAGAAACAAATGTTGTAGCAAATCTAACCCACCGATGAAAGCCTCTGACTTTGTTCTGTACGAAGATACGAAGGCTTAGGCATTAGTTATCCGCTTTTCATATAAGTTATTCATTTACTCACAACAATTGCAGCTGAAGTAGCATCGCTTATACGAATGATAATATTAAAATCAAATTTTAAAACGTTTGCTAAAACTAAAATAACGTTTATGTGCAACAGTTCGAAATCCGAAGCATCTCCAGAATAGCTCTTCGACGCGGAATATACGCTGTTGTTTGGGAAA